CACTATGCCAAATTTCGCGCAAATCGAAAACATATTTGGGAGCTATATCGAATTCTGAACCGATTTTCCCGAAACTCACCACACATCATTATAGACACAATTCAGTACACTATGCCAAGTTCCATGCAAATCGAAAGATATTTAGGGATTTTAGTGCACCATTTACGTAAAATCGGTCGAAAATATATATGGGATCTATATTTAAATCTGAACCGATTTTCAAGAAATTTTACACACATCATTCTAGACTCAATTCAATACGTTATGCCAAATTTCATGGCAATCGAAAGATATTTAGGGACTTTGGTGAACCATTTGCATTAAATCGGACGCAAATATATATGGGAGCTATATGTAAAACTGAACCGATTGTCATGAAACTTAGCATACATCATTCTAGGCTTAATTCAGTACGCTGTGCCAAATTTAGTGGAAATCGAAAGATATATAGGAACTTTGGTACACCATTTTCCTTAAATCCGACGAAAATATATATGAGAACTATATCTAAGTCTGAACCGATTTTCACGAAACTTAGCACCAATTTCAATAGAGTTCGTCCTTGGGCCAAATAAATGACCTGTGCCATATTTCATCGGATCATAAATGGGACCTGTACTTTATTTACAATTTTACATCTATAGACGGACGGACGGACGGACACGCATAAATCGACTCAGAAAGTGATTCTATGCATATTCTCAAAAGGAACCATGTGTCTATCTCGTTTCTTTTTGCCTGTTACAAACATATGCACGAAGATATAATACCCTGTACCACAGAGTGGTGAAGGGTATAAAAATAATTATACGATTTTTATACTCTACACAACCATATTGTCAGGGTATTATAGTTTTGTGCAGGCCTCATAACTATAATACGCTGACGAAATATTGGTCCTAGACCAACCTTTCAGTATACCGTTCGTCATATCTCAACTAGCTGAGTCGATCTAGTCATGTGTGTCCGTCCGTCCGGAAATATAGAGCTGATCGCTTGGAAATTTTCCGTGAGGTTCCAGTTATAGTCAAGGACAACACCTATAATTTTCGGTGATGATCAGATTATAATTATGGAATGAAGTGGACCGAATACATAATTTTTCGTGTTTTTTTCGAGTCGATGCCAATAATAACAAAGTGAAGTGAATCTGCACAATTAGTTAGAAGGGCAGTACTCAATATGAACAGTAATATTCGAAAATATGTCAGTGTAAGGAAGAGGTGCTGTTGACCTCTAATCGGCCTAGAGGGAGCAAATATCACGAAATATCTCGCAGGCTCGGAATAAACATCCGCAGAGAGTTAGAGTTCCATGGTAGTTGTCTAGGGTATCGTATGGTCTGCCCCGTCCGACCATACTGCTCCACTCACTGGTTTAAAAAAAATTTTAAGAACCTTAAAAAGGCGCGGATGTTGTTGCCATGTTGTTTGCCAAATTGTTGCTGTTGTTGTCAGGCCAGCAATAGTTCCGCCATATAAAATTTAACAAAAAACGGAAATGAATAATTTGTTGATGTTGTTATTGATGCCAGCAAATGGTTGGATGGATATTCAGCCATTACACTCTCAATTGTTGTTGGCTGGGTGTTCGTTGTTGTTGGCTGTTTTTTCATTGTTTTTGTTTTTATTATTATTGACTACAATGGCCATAATTAAAATGAAATATCAATAACAATGTAAAGTGGACAAATGACCAGCTACCAACAACAACATCAATAACAACATCAGTAGTTTTCGGCAACTTGCTATTGTGATGGAGTGGATTTATTTCATGGGCTTGGGTTTTTTGGTTTAATTTTTGGATCCAGCTCAAGTGGGAAATAATATTTACAGTTCATTTAGGCTATCAGCTGTGAGGCAGTAGTGGGTTAATTTAATTTTTTCTGTTTTTTTTTTGTGGGCGTTAAAAATTTAAATTTAATTTAAAGGAATTAAGAACAAGAATCCGACATGGTGGCGTATGAGTATTTTTATTTTCCAGAGAGAGAGAGAAAACGAATCCGACATGGTGGCGTATGAGTACGTTTATTTGCCTTTTTGGTAAATGATAAAAAGTATACGCATCAGTGAACCTTGTGGAATTAAATAAAATAACTAATACGCCTCGTGGACGAATTTCAATTTTTCAGTTTGCTATTAAAATTTCTAAAATTTTTTTTTAAAAAATTGTAAAGAATCCACAGTCCTAAAAAATATATTTTTTCTAAATTCCAAACCAAATATTTTTTATTATTTTTTTTCATTCGTAACGTAGCTCCTTTTATGACCCCAATAATCCAAACGAAATATTACGATTATAGGTTAATAGCCCTATAACCTTCACAGAACTAACCGAAAAGTGTTACCTGAATGAAGAAGAAGAAGACAGAAAATGTAACAACAACCAATGAATTTGTATTACCAACACCCACACGCCAACACTGAAATCGCGTGCCATGTTTTTTTTGTAATTTTTCCAAAGTTCAAATAAACTAAGGCAAATAAACAAATGGCCTGGCATCATGTCAGTCAACCATGTTTTGTGTTTTTGTTTTTTTATTTATTTATTGTGTTGTTTTTGTATGTATGTATATTTTTTCATGGCATTAGTTTAAGACCTTGTCGTACAAGACTAAATTGTCATTGTTTCTTTTTTTTGGTGTTTTTTTTATTATTTATTATAGGTAGACATTTTATTGCATTGTTCGTTAGGTTTCGTGATGCTTTTTGCGATTTTTGTTTTGCATGACTAGCAGTTGTTTTTTTTTTTAATTTTGAAGAAAATATATATATTTTTTTGAGGTTACGCCTTGAAAAAGGTGGGTCTAAAACCAATATTTCGCGGCGTTGCAAACCTTGTTAAAGGTCCTTAAAAGAATCCACGCCTTGTTAAAGGTCCTTAAAAGAATCCAAGCCCTGTTAAAGGTCCTTAAAAGAATCCACGCTTTGTTAAAGGACCTTTTAAAAAATCCACGCCTTGTTTAAGGACCTTTTAAAAAATCCACGCCTTGTTAAAGGACTTTTTAAAAAATCCACACCTTGTTAAAGGTCCTTTTAAAAAATCCACGCCTTGTTAAAGGACCTTTTAAAAAATCCACGCCTTGTTAAAGGACCTTTTAAAAAATCCACGCCTTGTTAAAGGACCTTTTAAAAAATCCACGCCTTGTTTAAGGACCTTTTAAAAAATCCACGCATTGTTAAAGGACCTTTTAAAAAATCCACGCATTGTCCTTTTTAAAACCTTGACCTTTTTAAAAACCCACGCCTTATTAAAGGACCTTTTAGAAAATCCACACCTAAGTCTATAAAAATATTTTTAAAAAATCCGCGCGTGAATTTCGTCCGATTTAAGGTAAATGGGACACCAAAGTCCCTATATATCTTTCGATTCGCACGAAATTTAGCATAGTGTACTGAATTGACTCTACAATGACGTGTATCAAGTTTCAAGAAAATCGGGTCAGATTTATATATAGCTCCCATATATATTTTCGTCTGATTTAATGTAAATGGTGCACGAAAGTGCACCATTTACCATTTGGCATAGCATACTAAATGAAGTCTATAATGATGTGTGCTGAGTTTCGTGAAAATCGGTTCAGATTTAGATATAGCTCCCATATATAGTTTTGTCAGATTTTAGGTAAATGTTGCACCAATGTCCCAAAATATCTTTCGATTTGCACGAAATTTAGCATAGCGTACTAAATTAAGTCTTTAATGATGTGTGCTAAGTTTCGTGAAAATCTGTTCAGATTTAGCTATAGCTCTCATATATATTTTCGTCCGATTTAAGGTAAATGGTGCACCAATGTCCCTATACATCTCTCAATTTGCATGAAATTTGGCATAGCGTACTCAATTGAGTCTATAATGATGTGTGCTGAGTTTCGTGAAAATCGATTCAAATTTCGATATAGCTCCCATATATATATATATATATATATATATATATATATTCGTCCGATTAAAGGTAAATAGTGCGCCAGAGCCCCTATATATCTTTTGATTTGCACGAAATTTAGCATAGCGTAATAAATTAAGTCTTTAATGATGTTTGCTGAGTTTCGTGAAAATCGGTTCAGATTTAGATATAGCTCCCATATATATTTTCGTCCGATTTAAGGTAAACGGGGCATAAAACTTCCTATATATCTCCCGATTTGCACGAAATTTGGCACAGCGCACTGATTTGAGCCTAGAATGATGTATACCAAGTTTCATGAAAATCGGTTCAAATTTAGATATAGCTCCCATATATAGTTTCGTCCGATTTAAGGTAAATGGTGCGCCAAAATCTCTAAATATCTCTCGATTTGCACGAAATTTGACACAGCTTAATGAATTAGGTCTAGAGTGGTGTGTGCTGAGTTTCGTGAAAATCGGTTCAGATTTAGATATAGCTCCCATATATATTTTCGTCCGATTTGAGGTAAATGGCGGACCAAAGTCCCAAAAGATCTTTCGATTTGCACGAAATTTGGCATATCTTACTAAATTGAGTCTGTAATGATGTCTGCCAAGTTTCTTGAAAATCGGTTCAGATTTAGATATAGCTCCCATATATAGTTACGTCCGATTTTATGTAAATTGTGCACCGATGTCCCTATATATCTTTCGATTTGCACGAAATTTGGTATAGCTTAAGGAATTAGGTCTAGAATGGTGTGTGCTGAGTTTCGTGAAAATCGGATCTATATCTAAATCCAGATTTAGATATAGCTCCCATATATATTTTCGTCCGATTTAAGATAAATTCTGCGCCAAAGTCCCTAAATTTGGCATAGCGTCTTAAATTGAGTCTATAATGATGAAAAATCTATAAAAAGTCTATAATGAAGATTATACCCAAAGTGGTGAAGGGTATCATATAGTCGGCCCAGTCCGACCTTACTACTCTTCTTACTGGTTTTTTTGTTCTGGAACTGTGCATGTAATTAAAAAAATTTTAATGAGCTCCCGAGTAATTTTTATTGATTTATTGTTTGCTGTTATTGTTCTCTTCATTGTCATTTACAGATGCGGCTTTATGTATGGCGAGCTGACAGACAAGGAAACAGTGGCCCGCTTGGAGTACACACTGGAAAACCAGCAACAGGATCAATTTGAAATATTGCTCTACAAGAAGAATAGTAAGTTATGGCATAATTTTGTAAAACCCTTTTTTATTAAGTCCCTAATTTTGGTTTGGTAATTCTGCTAAGAAAAAATGACCCTCTAAAAATTATTTTTTTAAATATTAAAATCCAGTAGGATATATATATTACTCCCTCTCTCTCTCTTGCCTCTGGTTGGAACATAATTTATCAGCTTTGTTGGGCGAAACAATTTGTTACACATAAAAGGCTTGGACCCTCTGTATAAATCCTAGTAAATGCTTTGTCCATAAACCTACTTTTAGTGGCTTTTCCACCACGGCTTACCCTCCGTCCTTCGTCATAATTTGCCAGTACCTCTCTCCATCTCTCTCTCTCTCTCTGCGCTAATCTCTGCCAAACACCTGAGACCATGGGAAGGATTGTAAAATGCTCAACAAATATCTAATGTATTCCAACTGCTTTACACTACTTTGACAAGGGGATTTGGAGCGACGTTCGGCTCTCCTGGTGCTGCTGCTGCAACTGCCACTGAAGGTTATGGGGGGATTTTAAAAGTCCCCACATTTAGCATTCCCACCCGGCCATATGGGACATATTAAAGCCATCAAAGGCAGTGTAAAAGCAAAAGGGTGTATTTTGCAAATGGAGCCTTTGGTGGTCGGGGTTGGCTTATAAATTGTTTGTGCAAATACTTGAATATGCAACAGCAAAATGTTGCAGTGCATAAAGTAGTTGAAGCACAGTGGGCTAAAAAAGATGAAATTTCTCTTTAAAAAATATTTAAAAATTACAAAAATTTCAACTAAGTTCTCGAAGTCAAATCAAGATTTTCCTTCCAAGTCCACAAAATTTTCTCCTCCAAAGAATTTCAAAAATTACTCCCCTCTCTCTTTCTCCCCTAAAATCTGCCCTCCCCACTGTCCCACTGTTTCGAAAACATTAATGCCAGCACACATTCCCACCAAATGTGCTCAAGTCTTAACTCAGTCAACAGTATAACTCTATTTGTCTGAATGTGTGTGTTTGTGTGTGTGTCTTTGTGTATCTTTATATATTCCTTAAAATATGTATGTATGTGTGAATGTGCTCATGTGGATTTTGTAAAATTGCAGCATAACATAAAAATGTGCACAAGCAATTTATTTTTATGGTTATTCAGATCTCCAACTAACACTGGCACATTTTACATGAAAACAAAAGCAATACGGTGGAAAAATGAAACGTGGAAAAAATTTTCGATAATAAACTTTTTGTAGAAAAAATTGATCATTAATCAACTTTTTTTAAAAAAAAAAATTATCGATCGATAATACTAAAATTGTCGGTAAAATTTAGTTTTTACAGAAAACTGCTCGATAATGCAATTTCCGCAAAGAAAAATTATCGATAACACAATTTTTCCGAAGAAAAATTATCGATAACACAATTTTTCCGAAGAAAAATTATCGATAACTCAATTTTTCCGAAGAAAAATTATCGAAAATCTTTCGATAACATAATTAAAATTGCCGATAACACATTTATTTTAAAGAAAATTTATCGATAACCTAATTTCCATGAAGACAAATTTTCCGATAACATGATTTCTGTAAAGAAAAATTACCGATAACTCACGGGTTTGTTCCGAAAACATATCGATAACAATGCTTATAGTATCGATAACATATTTTTTGGAAGAATAATTATCGATAACACAATTTCTGAGAAGAAAAATGATCGATAACTCAGTTTCTGTGAAGAAAAATGATCGATAACTCAATGTGTTCGTCCCCAAAATTTCGATAACAATACTAGAAGTGACAGTAACACATTTATTTTAAGGAAAATTTATCGATAACACAATTTCTGAGAAGAAAAATGATCGATAACTCAGTTTCTGTGAAGAAAACTTATCGATAACTAAGTGTATTGTTCCAAAAAAAATTCGATTACAATGCTAGAAGTGTCGATAACTTATTACTTTTAAAGAAATGTTATCGATAACACAATTTTTGAGAAGAAAAATCTCGATAACACAGTTTCCGCAAAGAAAATATATCGATAAATCACAGTGTTGTGTTACCAACAATACTGTAAGTGTCGATAACAATGATGTAAGTATCGATAAGAATACTGTAAGTGTCGATTACATATTTCCTTTTAAAGAAAAGTTATTGATAACACAATTTTTAAAAGAAAAGTGGCCGATAACACAGTTTCCAAAAAAATGTCAATAACATACTAGAAGTGTCGACAACATAATCCTTTTAAAGAAAAGTTATCGATAACGTAATTTCCGCGAAGAATAAATATCAATAACATAATTTCTGTAAAGAAAAATTATCGATAACTCATTGTTTTGTTTCAAAAAATTTCGATAACAATGACAAAAGTTTCGATAACACTTTTCTTTTACAAAAATATTAACGATAATATAATTTTTGAGAAGAAAAATCATCGATAACATAGTTTTTAAAGAAAAATTATCGATAACTCAATATTTTGCTCCGAAAAATGTCGATAACAATATTGAATGTGTCTATAAAATATTTTCTGTAAATATATATTACCAATAACACAATTTCGATAAGGAAAAAATATCAACAGCACAAATACTGTTACGAAAAGCTATCGATAACTCATTGCTTGTTTTAAAAATGATCGATAAAAATATTGAAATTATCTATCATTATGATCATATTATCATTGCAAAAAAAAATTATCGATAACCAAAATTTTGTGATGAGAAATTATCGATAACACAATTTCAGCTCAGAAAAGTTATCGATAATACATTGAATGTAAAGAAAAAATATGGACAACAATTATATAGGGCCAAAATGTTATCGATAAAAATATTTAAATTGTCGATAACATATTTTTTATAAAGAATAGTTATCGATAACACAATTGCTGTGACGAAAAATGATCGACAACACAATTTCCATATAGAAAAGTTATCGATAACACAATTTTTGTATAGAAAAGTGATCGTAACACAATTATTGAGCAGAAAAGTAATCGATAACAATTATTTTGTACATAATAAATATCGATAAAATGTTTATTATAAAGAACGGCTATAAAACTGTTAAAGTTAAATAGTTTCAGGATAGACAAATTATCGATAACACATTTTTCCTCAAGAAAATTTATCGATAATAAAAATTTTGTATGAAAAATTTTCGATAATAAATTTCCTGCACACAAAAGTTTTTGCAAACTGTTTACTCCAACAAAAAATTATCGACAACACTATTTAATGATAGAAAAATTATCGATAATGACTTTTCTCAATAGAAAAGTTATCGATATTAACTTTTCTCTATAGAAAAATGATCGATAATAACATTTCTGCATAGACAAGTTATATCTATAGAAAATTTATCGATAATAACGTTTCTGCACAGAAATGTTATCGATAATAACTTTTTTGCATGGAAAAGTTATCGAAAATAAATTTTCTCTATAGAAAAGTTATCGATTATTACATTTTTGTATACAAATTTTATCGATTATAACATTTCTCTATAGAGAAGTTATCGATAGTAGTTCTTTTCATAGAAAAGTTATAGCAAATAGTTTCTTTGCATAGAAAAATTATTAATTAAAAATAAAAAATTAAAAATTATTATTTCCTTATAGTAAAGTTATCTATAATTAAATAAAGTAATCGAAAATTTATCGAAAATAACTTTTCTTTATAGAAAAGTTATCGATAATAATTTTTCTCTATAGAAAATTTATCAATAATTTTTCTCATAGAAAATTTATCGATAATTTTTCTCTATAGAAAATTTATCGATAATTTTTTTCTATAGAAAAATTATCGATAAAAAATTTTCACTATAGAAAAGTTATCGATAATTAATTTTCTATATAAAAAAATTATCGATAATAACTTTTTTGCATAGAAAAATCTATAAGAACTTTTTTCTATAGAAAAGTTATCGATAATATTTTTTCCGCATAGAAAAGTTATAGGTTATAACTTTTCTCTTTAGAAAAGTTTTCGATAATGAAGTTTCTTTATAGAAAAGTTATCGATAATATACTTTCCCTAGAGAAAGGTTATCGATACTAACTGTTTTGTATAAAATAATTGTCGATAAGAACTACTCTGCAAAGAAAAATTATTGATAATAAATTTTCTGTATGGAAATTGTCAATTATAACTTTTCTTTATAAAAAATTTCTGATTTTGATTTTTTTATATAGAAAAAATATCGATAACATATTTTCTCTATACCAAATTGATCGATAACACCATATATCGTGTGCGAATTGTCGATAATTTGTTTTAGAACCCAAATTATCGATAAATATTTGTTATTTTATAACCGTTATCGATAACACTTTTCATGATAACCCTTTTACCCAACGCCGCAGTGTATTAAAACTCGAAACATCAACATATCCCGACCAACTTAAAAAAACATATCAACTAACAAATTCCAAAAAAAAAAAAAACAACACCAACCAATGAACAAAAAAAAACAAATCCACAAAAGAAGTAAAAAAACACGAAGTGTAGAACAAAACAAAATGCCAATGAAACTTGAGAACTTAAGAGTGATGAAGCAAAAAAGACACACACACACAAAATGGAGAATGAAAAGTTTATGGGAAAATAAAAAAAAAAACGATAACTAAATTTAAAACAATGGGGAAAATGGTGAAAACTAGTTTAAGAGGAAAAAATATGTTTGAGTTATGCTACAATGCAAAAGGGACTAACTAACAAAAATTTGGAAAACAAATATTTTCAAAATGCCTTATGTTGACTTATTTTCAAATGATAGAAATATTGGTTACCCTAATACAAGTGTTCAAAATTTTAAGGTCTTCAGAAAAAAACCCCTTTAGAAAATTGTTTCCCCTGGCCCTATCCGAACTCATGGCAGTCCTTAAAATTTTTATTTTATTTTGTTCTCTGTTTTCCCTTTCTAACCATGCGATGACGTCAAACGTCATTCTTTAACTATACTTGGGCACATATGCAACAGAAGAAATTGCAAACCAAACCTCCTGTGCGCCCCACTCACCCTCAAGCG